CCCCAAAACCCCAAAACCCCAAAACCCCAAAACCCCAAAACCCCAAAACCCCAGTGATAAGGGGATTTATTGGTTAAATAATATTATAATTCCAAAATGCATCTAAAAAGAAGAGGGATCACTGGAATCAGAATGTTCTCCCAATGGCTTGGAGGAGGATGTATGTCTGGCCTTTAATTGATATCTCACTAAAAATTTAATATTTCAGCATTGCTTTATTTAACTTTATTCTTCACAAAGACAACATTTCAACACTGTTCTTTTGTGATACATTTGAAGCGATAAAAGATGGTATTAATACACCTTTATAGCTTCGGAGTTATCAAATTATAACAACTACAGATCAGAAAATCAAGGAATGTATAACAAATATCGTAAGTGAATCTATTGGTGCATGCTAACTTAATAGTTCAAAATGATGCTCCCAGAAGAGTACCTTACTACCAAGATGAGCTGTTTGATCAGAAGAAAAATGATAGAGATTTTAGTAATAAAGACAAATACTCTCATAAAGCCCAGTCTAAGGAGAATAAGAACAAGAAGAGGTTCTTCATCAAGCCCTACACTGTGTATAATTTTGAGGAAAAGCAGCTCCTTACTCTTCGGCCAAGAAACTGAATTTACAAAGATAGAGGGGATGGTATCCTCCAATGTACAAGAGTTGGTTATATGGTCATGAAACTAACCCCCATGGTGGAGGAAATGAATGGCGGAAAATTTAAAAAGTTCACACCTAGCTATGAAGAATCGTGTAGTTTTGTAATAACTTCAAAGAATATCGGATCTATCTTGGCATTAAATGTTAACAATAGAATTGCTAAATATGAGACGCTTGATCAAATCCTTGAAAGCACTACAAGAAAGTCGATGACTGATGATTATTTAACCCTGCTAAAAATCGAAAAGAAAGCAAAAGAAGAGCCTACTGAAGATAAAGTTGAATTTCAAATGACCTATTTTGAAGCACAAGAAGACAAGCTCCTAAAAAGCACTGCGATGACTCTAAGTTTAGGCGAAATGATGGTCTTCCAAGTTTTGTGTAAAAGATTTCTGTGTGAGGCTATTCATGGATGGTCCTTCTTAAAACATAAGTAATATAGATGCCCTCTTACAATACTGATTTATATTTCAAATTGAATTTAATCTATGGGGTTTTGGGGTTTTGGGGTTTTGGGGTTTTGGGG